CATATGCTTTCCCCAACACACCAAAATAGTGCCTATTTGACTCCCATTTCATTTGATTATTGATTTTTTCATATCTTAAATGCCAATTCAATTTAGTGTCAATAGAGGAGTAAAATAGAGTCACAGAGAAGGAGTTATTCTAAACCTTTATCAAAAGGCAAATGCAGAAAGGCTTCAGCACGGAGGATGGATTTAGTGACTGAGGGCCCACTGGGATTTACCTAATAGATCTGCTGACTATGCCGTATAGTGGAGGAGACAGGCTGCAATCTCAAGACAATGCAGGTAACTCAATCTGAAATCCATCCAAAAGAGGACAAAACTTGCTCAGGTACAAGGACCCTGAAAAGTAACTCATCAAATGACAATAGGAACTGTGTGGACACTCCCTCTGTAACATGGACTAGGATATCACTCTCCTATATTAGAGGAGCTCCAGGCAGTGTACCATGCGCAAAGACTTATTGACAGTGGCTGACAACCTGCTGTCCATAAAGCATGGCAGAGTGGGTAATTAACTGGAAAGAGTTGGCAGTAGACCTTTAATAACAATTACACTTTCTACATTTTACCACTCCCCGTTCCTAGTGACAACTTTCTCATCTCAGCGAATTCTCTTGTGTACTGTTTCTGGAACATATATTCCTAAATTCCTGTCTCCTTTATAAGACACTGTATCTTGAGCTAAAGGCATATGTATTGTGCTTGTATTGTGTATCTAATGTGTACATATATGCATATTCTCACAAATGTGGTATACATTTATATTATGCATGCGTATGGACATATATCCACATATTGTAAAATGAAATCGCATTTTTTTTTTTTTTTTAGATGGAGTCACACTCTGTTGCCTAGGTTGGAGTGCAGTGGTACAAGCTTGGTTCACTGCAACCTCTAGTTCTTGGGCTCAAGCGATTCTCCTGCCTCAGCCTGCCAAGCAGCTGGGATTACAGGTGCCCACCACCATGCCCAGCTAATTTTTGTATTTTTAATAGAGATGGGGTTTCACCATGTTGGCCAGGCTGGTCTCAAACTCCTGACCTCAAGTGATCTGCCCACTTTGGCCTCCCACAGTGATGGGATTACAGGCTTGAGCCATGATGCCCAGCCTGAGGTAGAATTTTTTTAAATGAATGGTTGGAGATCGAGCCAAACGCTATAAAATGGCAGGGCTCTAATCAGCTCAGATTGTTTACAGTAGAAATGTACCCGAAGTCTTTGGAGTTAAATGAACTGTCACTTTATTTATTTATTTATTTATTTTTGATATGGAGTCTCACTCTGTTGCCCAGGCTGGAGTGACATGGAGTGATCTTTGCTTATTACAACCTCTGCCTCAGCCTCCTGAGTAGCCGGGATTACAGGCACCCACCACCACATCCTGCTATTTTTGGTATTTTTAGTAGAGACAAGGTTTCACCACGTTGGTCACGCTAGTCTCGAACTCCTGAACTCAGGTGATCCACCTGCCTTGGCCTCCCAAAGTGCTGGGATTACAGGCTTGAACCATCGCACCCAGCCTAAACTACCAGTTTACATCAGTTATAATTTTTTTTGGTTTTTTGAGACAGGGTCTCACTTTGTTACCCAGGCTGGAGTGCAGTGGCACAACCATGGCTCACTGCAGCTTCAACCACCTGGGTTCAAGTAATCTTCTTACCTCAGCCTCCCAGATAACTATGACTTCACGTACATGCCACCATGTCCAGTTAATTTTTCAAAATTTTTGTAGGGATGGGGTTTTGTCACGTTGCCCAGGCTGGTTTTGAACTTCTGAGCCCAAGTGATCTACTTGCCTCAGCTTTTCAAAATGCTGGGATTACAGGCATGAGCCATCATGCTCGGCCTCAGTCATAACGTTTTTTTTTGAGATGGAGTTTCCCTCTTGTTGCCCAGGCTGGAGTACAATGGTGTGATCTTGGTTCACTGCAACCTCTGCCTTCCAGGTTCAAGCAATTCTCCTGCCTCAGTCTCCCAAGTAGTTGGGATTACAGGCATGTGCCACCATGCCTGGCTAATTTTTTGTATTTAGTAGAGACAGGGTTTGTTTCACCATATTGGTCAGGCTGGTCTCGAACTCCTGACCTCAGGTGATCCACCTGCCTCGGCCTTTCAAGGTGCTGGGATTACAGGCATGAGCCACTGTGCCTGGCAGTTATAACTATTAAAGCAACACGAGGCTCTTGGTAGCCTGATTACAACCAGAAATAATTATCACTATTTTCCACAGTACACTCCCACGAAGTTTTTAGTCCTGCCATAATGTTGGTAGTAAAAAGAATCAACATTTTCAACTTGTTTTTTGGGGTTCTGTTTTTTTTAGGCAAGGTCTCAATCTGTCACCCAGGCTGGAGTGCAGTGGTGCAATCACAGCTCACTGCAGCTTCAATTTCCTGGGCTCAAGTGATCCTCCCATCTCAGCCTCCTGATAGCTGAGACTGCAGGCGTGCAATTAAAAAAAATTTTTTTTTTGTAGAGACTAGACCTCACTATGTTGCCTAGGCTGGTCTCAAACTCCTGAGCTCAAGAGATCCTCCCGCTGCAGCCTCACAGAGTGTTGGGATCACAGGCGTAAGCCACTTCACCTGGCCTTGATTCTTTTTAAGTTCAATAAAAATGGAACTTTGTCTTCCTGTCATGGCCAGAGTTAAAATACAGTCAAATAATAAAGACCTCATAGAGTTAAAGCTCACAAAACTGATACTTAAAAATAATTTATTAAACAAGTATTGCAGGCACTACAACAGGTCTCAAGATACAGTGGTGAGCAAGAAAAACAGGATCTCTTGTTTTCATGAAGTTCAATTAGGAAGTCCTATTGAATGATGAGACATCTTTCTTTGGGACAGCAAGTTACTTTCACTTAGTGGTAAAAGGGCCAAGAATAGTTCAGGAACTTCTCATCCACCTGTCTACCATTCTACACAGCAGCACAGATCTGGCTTTTTAAATGGCCCTAGGCCAGGCACAGTGGCTCACGCCTGTAATCCCAGTACTTTGGGAGGCGGAGGTAAGGGGGTCACATGAGGTCAGGAGTTCAAGACCAGCCTGGCCAACATGGTGGAACCCCATCTGTACTAAAAATACAAAAATTAGCCAGGCATGGTGGTGCCAAGTCCCAGCCACTTGGGAGGCTGAGGCAGGAGAATCGATTGAATCTGGGAGGCAGAGGTGGCAGTGAGCCAAGATTACGCCATACTGCACTCCAGCCTGGGTGAGAGTGAGATTGTCTCAAAAACAACAAAAGGCCCTATACAGCACCCATCCATTGAATTCATTCAAATTCCCTATAGCTTGTGCTGTCACTTAGTTGTTTTCTAGTACCTGGCAAGATGATATTAGGGGAACTCATGTTTAAGGAGTTCATGGAGACCTCCTTTTGTAAATACTGGCTTGACTCCTTAAGGTTGAAAATTTGGTCATTATTCTGTTTAATCTATTACTGATAAAAGTTATCACATAACCCAGTGTCTGCAAATGAACTATAAAAAACACCTTAGAAATACAAATGTATAATATAAATGTATACAAATATGGTATATGTTTACAAATATGGTATACATTTATATTATGCATGTGTATGGACATATATCTGCATATTGTAAAATGAAATAGAATTTTTTAGAAATATAAGGGGATTGCACTGTGACCTCTAGGTCAAAGTTAATTCTAGGTGAGAGGGGGGAGAAACAAATATGCTGGTTGTTTTCACCTAAATTCTGATCCTATGAACTTAAAATTCCTTCTCATGCAATCATTTTGTCAGGGAATTGATTACAATGAACGAAATCCAAAGTGCTCAGGTCACTGCCTCTTCAGTTTAGTGTTTACACTGTGTAGGAGACACCATCCAAGAGGCTGCAAGGGTGACTAAGCAAAGGGAAGACAACTTCTGTTGGGGAGGTGGAAGTAGAGATTCAATGGAAATAAGGGTATGCATCATTTAACAACAAAATCAAGAAAATGCTAAGGATGAAAGAGGGTACTCAACAATCATGCTGAAACAACAGGCGTAAACTAGGACCATGCCAGCAAGCTAATAGGTAGATGACTCTACTTTGAATATTAAATCATATCAGCAGCCAACTTTCTTAAGAAAAACCATGGATATCTAGGATTACTTGACTAGTGTAAAATACAGTTGCCTGAAGAACTGTGTCCTATCTAAATACTATCACAGGCCCCAGCTATCTCAAACTGATAAGAGTATTCTGCCTTTTAAAAACAATCATTATTGCCCACATTATTAGTAGTATTAATGTTAATAATATTGCATGCCCTGTCGAATAACTGCTTTTTGCTAGGTATGTGCACAGCATCATGGGAGCCGGAGGGAGCTTTTACCCAGCCTCATGAGGAATGAATGAAGGTAGGAATTGGCCAGGATAAAGTGGAAGAACTTCCAGATACACGGACCAAGGTAGAGCAAGGGGCAAGGGCACGGGTGACAACACAGAGCTTTTGAGAATCACTGAGACAAGCAGTCCACTGGTCTTCCTGCAAGGCAAGATACACCCAAGGACGAGCTCATGCCTAGGGCATAGCCAGCCTTGGAAGGCTTCAACCAGCGAAGCAGAGTAGCTAATATGTTACTTAAATGAATCACTGACAACAGATAGTAGAAATTGTAAAGCCAGTTAATCATACATCAAGTATTTTAGGCTATTAGGCCAGGAATGGTCAAAACAATGTTATGGTAAGCCAAAACCAAACTCAGGGGAGCACAGAATGTGGAGGAGTGGGGGTTGTACCCTGCTACAAAACTCTAGGCTAGGAAATGCCAAGATTGTGTTATTAAGTCTAGGTGAAAAACTTAATCCCAGTAGTCCCAAATACCCAAGCTAGAGAGGTACAGGAAAGGACTGGTCAGCAACATCACTCCAGTGTTTTAAAAACTCAAAGAGTACATAAACTTGAGCTTATTTTGCCTGTTTTAGGAAATAAAGGAATATAATGGTACATGGGGATTTGAAAGAACCACGAACACATCAGAGAGATCTTATGTTAGGTTGATTTATAAGTGCTGCTTTGGGCAGTTACACAGTTTGTTTACAATGAGGAGTTATTTGACTTTGAACATACTGTACATGGCAATTAGAAGTTGTCATGACAAGAGAAAACCATAGCTGGCCTGCCACAGCCAACGTTAAGAACCAGAAAACGGTAGATGAAATGAAGGAATAAAGGTGGGGTTTATTTCTTATTATAAAAGAAAAAAAATAATTCCTCAGCAGTCTTAACAAAGACATCAGGATACAAAATTACAAGTGTTTTGACTCCAGCCCTGTCCCCATCTCCTCCAAGAGCAGAGGTAGGAGACAGCTGAAGCAAACAAGCAATTCTGTAAAAATTACCTAGAAACCCTATAAATTTGATTAAAATCTAAACTTCTATAATTTTGCTTTTTAAAAAATTTAATATCAAAAGGCCTGCTTTAGTGACATGCTGTTCCTACCAGAAAATAACCCCAATAGCCCCTCTGTCAGTAACATGCTCAAGTTGACCAGCCAACTCTTATCTCTAAACCCACGTGGACAAGTGTCTATCTTTTAAACCAAAGCCACAGAGATCAAATGACTGCTAGAAACGTGTTAACTAATCCAGTGCCCACCTTCTCCAGAGGGTGGGCAGGGCAGAAACCCAGAAGTGGTCATGAGGACCCAACCCCAGAGCACCATCTTTCTAAGCACCACCTCCCTCGCTCCCTACTCAAAAGGAGATGCTTGGTTTCTAATCCGGACTATTCGTCTCAAATTTGGTGCCCCGTGACCTGGATGGTTTTTTCCTTTAGCAAAACACACATAATCCACAAAACCATACATATAATTTTTTGTCTTTACATTTAAATATAAAAATACTATTCTGCTTTGTGTGATAAATCAAGGACCAAGCAACATGAACCTTTTCTTCTTTCAAGGTAGGGATATCCATCAGTTTATACTGAGCTTCGTGTTCAGAGCAGGGCATTTAGTCCCAAGCCAGGCTAGTCCCACAAGCAAGAGACCAAAGCCATTCTCTCTGATTCCCAACCCCTACCTTCTCTCCTAATTCCCACTTTTAATAGAAAAGTTGGTTATAACTTCTTAAGAAAAGTTTCCACCACAAGGGCAAGTCCTAACCTAACCAGAGGAAGTCAGGTCTTCCCCTTTCAGCTACCTCGAAGAAAAGTCCCCCTCCTGCAAACATGTTCTGTCCAGATAGCTATGCCTATTGGACAGGTGCACCCCATTAAATGGAAGCAGTGGTTATGTTTCCCCACCCTCTTCCCCACTAATGCACTAAAAAGCTTCAGTGATAGGGAAAAAAAGGAGGGTAGGTGTGAAGAAATTAATAACTTGACCCATCTCTATCCCAGCCAAACAAAGAAAGCAAGATTAACTGGGCACAAGGAATGAGAAAAACGACCTTAATATTCCACCCTTTGAGTTACAATTGGGACAACTGGGAGAGGGGGAAGAGTTGGAGTGGGATGAAGAACTAGGAGGGGCTTGACAGCTAGAGGTCTAGTCCACTTAGTTTTTGTACTGGAAGGGCTCATCGCCGGTTTCATTGAGAAGACACGTGCGGATGAGGGCTTCTGTCACCGAAAAGGGGTCACAGTTGGCAGAGGGGCGACGGTCTTCAAAGTAACCCTTCTTCTCCTGGCCAACAGTCCGGGGAATGCGTATGCTGGCGCTACGATTGGCTACACCAGCAGAAAAGTCGTTGATGTTGGAGGTTTCATGGAATCCAGTTAGGCGTCGGGCATTGTCCAGGCCTCCCTTGGGATCATAGGCGCGGATGTGGTACTGGTGCCGCTTGCTTAGTTTCTCAATGGCCTCCTCGATGTACCTAGAAGAAACAGAAAAGATGGCAGTCCAATCTTGTCTCCAGGTATGGAGCCAAGAATGAAGTGCACCAAAATATGATACCAGTGGTGCAAACACTTCATGAGGGCAGTGGCTTCATCTTCTTACCTGTGTGTCTCAGGGGTCAGAACAGTGCCCGACAAGCAGTAGAAAGTATTTGTTGAAAAGACCAATCATTTGAAACTTTCTCCCCCTCATAAGCATTAAGCTTATCCACATGCCTGTATTATTAACTAATTTAGTTCTAAAAGATTTTCAAATGCATGAATTTGTCAACTTTTCCCTGTCACGACATATATATGTCACAAATATATATTATATATCAATGTTTATATAATGATATATGACTAATAATTATGTTATAATTTATATAATAATTATCACTGTGAATCAGAAGTATTACTTGGTATTTTTCAAATAGGAACAAAATGAGAATTTGAAGTCAAGTGTCAACAGCTAAGGTACGTCCAGACTGAGAAGTCAAGTTTACTTAACTCTGGTAAATATTTGCAAGTCATCCTGCAAAGGAGACTTTGCTGAGAGATTGATAAGTCTCTTCCCAAGTTTTCTGCCATAGGAGATTAAAGATGGCCCCAGCAGAAGGTACTCACTTCAGACCATTCTCCTCCCGCATGGCCTTGGTGCTGAAGTTGGTATGGCAGCCTGCACCATTCCAGTTCCCAGGAATGGGCTTAGGATCAAAGGTTGCTATCACTCCAAAGTCTTCACACACACGATGCAAGATGAAACGGGCCACCCAGAGATGATCTCCCATGCTGATTCCTTCACAAGGTCCAATTTGAAATTCCCACTAGAAACGAGAAGCTTGGCCATTAAAACAAAGCCAACTGCTCACTCCAACTCAGAAGCTCCTAAACCTGTTCTCTTCTCACCTCTACTCCAACCCATTCTTAGGTTTTGGGTTAGTGAGTGGTGTATCAGCAGCCCTTACTAGCAAAAGTCCTATATGCACCTACCTACCCTTCATCATTGATGGATTGGAGTTATATTTACCTGGGCAGGCATGACCTCGGCATTAGTCCCCGCAATCTTGACTCCAGCATACAAGCAGGCCCGGTAATGGGCCTCCACGATGTCCCTGCCATAGGCTCTGTCTGCTCCCACACCACAGTAATATGGACCTACAGAAGCATCAAGACAAAATAAGACTCAAGAAATCTAGAGAATCCCAAAGTCAGAGATCAGAAGGCCCTTAAGCCTTGCCCTCTTGAATCACTATCCTTGCCTTCATCTGCAGGTGCAGGGCAGGGGAGGGGCAACAGGGGAGTTCCTCTTCACCTGTGGGGCCAAAGCTTCCCCCTAAAACCTTACTTTATACATTTATATCCATTTTTGGACTTTGGTGATGTGAGGGCTGTTTCGCCTTTACTGTATTATTTTGCTTCTTGATTCAGAAAGTCACTCCCATCCCTGGGAAGGGGCATTCTGGAACAGTTAAGACACTTCTGGGAATTTCACCTCTAACCCAAGAAGACTTACCCTGGGGCCCCGGGAAGCCGTTGGAAGGCCAACCAAAGGGGTGCCCATCTGTCCCCATGAGGGTATATTCCTGCTCCATGCCAAACCAGGGGTGCTGGTTGCTCACCATGTCCATTATCCGTTTACAGGTGTGCCTCAAATTGGTCTCTAGAAAAAAGAGTCAACAATATGCCATCAGGGATCTGATGCTGAATACCGATGCTGATGGGAGAACAGTCTTTGGATTCTATACAACTGAGGTGTGCACTATGGGCTGAAATGACCCAGTATAGGCCTTCTTGGGATCACTGAGTCGCTGAGTTGGAAAAATGAGAGAAGCAATAACTGTACATCTGTAGGAAGACTCTGAAAGACTTCAGTTTTAACTAAACTCAGTTACAACCAAGTCACATGAGAATGGATTTAGAACAGGGCAACTTTCACCTTATCTGCATTCTGGCCACCTCCCAAGCACCAAATGCCAGGCACTTAACCCTCTATTCACAAGACAGCTGCTTCTGCTTGTTAGATTTATTCTTCATTTCTCAGGCACTTGGAGCCATTCTATAGTTTTTGAGAATCATTTGTCCATTGGTTTACATTTGTCCTGGCCTACATTCTAGGCAGGAGGGCTGTTACTGGGGACTCCAAGACCGGCAAACAGATCTGGACAAATCTAATGCTGTTTTATGCTACCAACAGACAAAACCATAGAAAGATGGGGCCATATTATCTCTTCCTCAAAGCAGAAGTTCAGGGAAGAGGCTCAATCACTTAGATTCTTAAAATAGTCCTGAAATAGCCTAGTCTTCCCAATACTGATTGCAGAATGTCTCCTCCCTCCCCTTCACAGCATTCACAGATTGAGGAGAGGAATCCATAGCTGTGCTATACACACCTGCAGGCCTTCGATTGTACTTGAAAACTTCACACAACACCAGCTTGTTCGGGTCCTTACGGAAGGGGTCCCGAAACATGGCAGCAGGCACGAGATACATGTCACTGTTGGAACCTTCAGACTGTAAAGTACTAGAGCCATCAAAATTCCACTCAGGCAACTCTGGGGCAAAAAGAGGGAAAATTACATTTAAAATGTACAGGAGCTTTCCAAGCAATGCAAATACAGCCAGCCCTTCACTCACCTTCCCATCTCTAAAGATCTCTTTTCCAGGAAGTTATTAAGGCATAAATGCCATCATTAATATGTATACCCTGGCACCTGTACCTGATCCTATAGCCCTTCCTATCTGAATTCCAAGTAAGACCACTGTACCACTTCCTTAAAAGAAATACATCAGGCACTCCCTTCCCAAATGTCTTCCAGGAGACAAACTGAAGCATTCTGTTACCATTACCAGCCTATCAGTCACTTAAAATACTGAGATAGTGAAGGATTCTGATTCTTCCATTAGGCAATGTGTCGCTTCCTTCTTCTCATGCCCCCAGTGTATTCTGGCAAGTAATGTCCTTATTTTATAGATGAAGGAACAGACAACTAGAAGGATGACTTACTCAAGGATGTTCCCTTATTACCTATCCACCTTTCCCACTGTTTTAAAGACTGCTTTGTCTCTCTAGCTGACTGAGTTCTCTGAAGGCAGAGACTAGACTCTCACTTTGTATCTTCAGCGTCTGTGAACTATCTGCCACATAGCAAGTACACAATATAGGCTTTGTATTATGATCATTCACTTATTCAAAAAGGAAAAGTAAGCTATCCTAAACTAGGTAGGAGGTGATACTTTCCTCTGGCCCCTTTCTGGAAGAGGGAAGACTATGGCTTGTTTTAGACTGAAAAATGAAGGTCACAACTATAATCTAACTGTAGCTCGATAAGCAATTAAGACAGTTTAAGAATTTCCAAAAGTGCCATCAACTAAAAATCAGTCCTATTTGAAAACCATTTTAGAGCATTTGCTTCACATCTAGAAGCCCAGTGATGTGATTAAGCACAGTTTTCTAAGAGTTTGTAAACTAGATGGCATTCTCAGGTTAGAGCAGTGGTTTTCTGAGGGTGCCTTAGAGTCAGGTAAGTGGGGATGCCCAGGTCGGCAGTCTCTAAGCCCCATGCCAACTCTCCATAAACCAGACTTAGTTTTTCTTCAATACACTGGCCTACATGCACAATTCCATTTAAATAAAGGGTTCCATTGTTGCTCTGCTTTGAGGCAGTGTAGGAGCTTAATGTTGACTGAATGAAGTCTGGAAAGCCCTGCCTTAGAAAAGCTTTACAAACAGAATAAAGAGGCCTAATCCAGAGGCTGAGTCAAAGGCCCACCCCCTGCAGATCCCACCCAGCGTGTGCTCCACTCCACATTGCTGTCTCACCTTCCACACACTTGGGCTCACTGTCCAGGGTCCGGGTCTTGCAGCGCAGTCCTTCTCCAGTACCATCGATCCAGATATACATGGCCTGGACTTTCTCACCCTGAGGCAGGGACATGTACACCTGCTTGATGCCTTTATTTAAGTGGGAACTTGCTGAGGTGGTCATGGTGGAAGGTGTTCTGGAGAGAGAAAAAAAATAACCTTGTTAATGCCCACTCCAAATGGATCCCCTGCAAAAATGGCTTAAGAGGGACAACTGAATCAAAAGTTGTGAATCAAGGTGTAAGTGCCAACTCCTTCCCCTCTGGAAGTCAACACACAGAAAGTTATGTTTACTCACTCTTTCAGGGGGATTAGTTTTATAGTAGGCGAAAATCTCCTTTATAATAGGCTGTAAAACTGATCACCACCTTTTGAAGCAATTAACACAGATGCCTGCTAAAGAAAAGATCAGGCCCTTGGTAGTAACTCAATGCCTCTTGCATCTCTGAGCTCAAAGGCTTAAGTTCCACAGCTACTGCAGATCCCAGGCTTCCAAGTTGGAACTTACACTTGTGAGGACTGTCTATTTCTTCAGTGTAGCTGAGGTAACACTAAACTATCCAAATACTAATCTATCAGAGGAAACAAACCAAACCAATACACAAATTTACAAAACATAGAACTTCTTCCAATACAAGTAAAATCCAGCCACAGAACAGGCTTGGCTTCCAAGGTTTCTTTTTTTCTCTTTGCCTTTCATCCTAGCTGTGGTCTTAACTGAAACCCACGGCCACTCCCCACCAAAAGAAAACCCACCACACATTTAGATTTGAGGATGAAACAAGGTTACAATATTTTTTTTTTTTTAAAGGCTAGCAGTTTCCTACAACAAAAGCTGATTCAAACCAGATTCTAAGGGGTTTGCTGCCATAATTTCCATAGGTCTCACGCAAAGTTTCACTTAAGATAGTGAGCAAGAATCACAACATCATGGAATTCCACAAGAAGACTTCAAGTAATTAGGAAATTTCCACTTCGAAATAAAAAAGATCTGGAATTTTAAAAGCCATGAGGCATACTAATAACTGCCAACCACTACCAGAAAACCTCTGAAAGAACAGAAATTCTGAAGCCACAACAGCCGAAGAGGAAACGTTCTCTCCCTCCCTCCTCCCTCCGTGGCCCAGGATGGCTAGAAAGGGAACACATTGTTCTCCTCCAACGACTAGGGCAACGTTCTGAAGTACAGTGGCAAAGTTTCTATGGGCAACCGTCCATGTTTGCCCAGCTGAAAACATAACTGCTTCTCCCTCTGACAGCCTCACCACCCTTCCCCTTGGGGAAGACCAACACCCCAATATTGCCTCTAGAAGATTCAGGCGGCCAAATCCTACTTCCCACCTCCCTCCCAGAACCCTTCAGCTCCCGCTAAAAGCTACAACCCGCCTAGGCGGGCGGATCACCTGAGGTACGGAGTTCGAGACCATCCTGGCCAACATGGTGAAACCCAGTCTCTCCTAAAAATACAAAAATTAGCCGGGCCTGGTGGTGCCCGCCTGTAATCCCAGCTACTCGGGAAGCTGACACAGGAGAATCGCCTGAACCCTAGAGGTAGAGGTTGCAGTGAGCCGGGAGTTTGCACCACTGCACTCCAGCCTGGGCGACAGATCGAGACTCTGTCGGTGGGGGGGGAAAAAAAAGCTACAACCCAATTTCTCAGCTGTCCTCTCCAACCTGTTACACCACCAATATCATGCACACTTTGTCCTAAGCCTGTTTCGGATCTCCTGCTCCTTTCCGTGAGCCAGTTGGATGCCAGCACTCTATCAACTGCTGCTGCCATGGCGCCAAGTTTATGTGGGGGGAATGGATTCTGAAGCTTTTAGCCGTTTCTGCAGCTCTCACCAACTCTGGGGTCGTCCTCCCTGCCCCCTCACTCACCCCAGCCACAGAAAGTCAAGCGTATTGTTAGGGTTGCCCTCCTTAGCCCTTCTCTTTTTGGAGTGGCGTTCGCGCCTCTCCTCTTTCTCAGACTCGAGCTGGTCCAAGCACCGGAGCTTTCTGGGCGAGGGCGATGGAGAAGGGGACAGACAGCGGTCGGCCCGGGGGGTGTCGAAACAGGCCGGTTGGTGGGTTAAGGTCTTAATCTTGACTCGAGATTTCTCCCCGGAGTTCACGGAGTAGGCGACGAAGCCGAAACAGTTGGAGGGCGACCCGGAGGAGTCTGACTTCTCGTCGTCTTCATAATTTTCATTGGTTGCTTTCTTCGTGAACTTGCGGCTGGGGGAGGATCCCCGCTTCCCGCCCCCGAGGGAGTTGTAATTATCCACTTTGAGAGCAGCCCCTTCCCACTGAAATGTCCCTAAAGCGGGCGCCCCGCCCCTCGGGCCCCCGTCTGAATCTCAGGGCCTCACAGAGGTGGCCATACCCCACCGCCGAGGGGTTGCGGGGTCCCCGGGGAGGGTGGGGGCGCAGGCCGGAGGGACCGCGCGCTGCTGCTGCCTCCGCCCGGCCCATTTTCTCCACCGACTGTGCCGAGGCCCGGGCTCTCCATTGTTCGGTCACACTGGAAGGCCCCCGGGACCCCGAGGCGGGAGCCGGCCGCGCAAACAACGCTCACTGTTACACGCCGCAATCGAGGCGTCTCAACGATCGCCAGAACCACGACGACTGCCCCACCACCAGGAAAGCAGCGAGGCGCCCGCGCCAACCAAGCGCCTTGTTTGCGCTCTGCAGGGGACCGCACCGCCACACCATCCACAGCGCAAACACCACTGTGAGCCCCAGGGCGCGGGCCAGCCCAAAGGCCTCCAGGGGCGGCGCTTGGGCCGCAAGTAGTGAAAAGAAGATCAAAACAACTCACCCCGCCCTTCCCAGAGCCTGGCCAAGGGCGCGCCCCACCAGTGCCAGCCCCGGAGGGTCCAAGCCATCGGCGGCGGAAGCACGCGGGAGGAGGACTGGAGCCGGACCTCAGGCCCGGGCCAGAGAGGCCGCAGCGTAGGGCTGGGACTGGAGGGGCAGGCGGCCGAAAAAAGAGGCTGGGTGGCGCGCCTCGCGGGGTAGCAGGGGCGGTGCGTGTCGCTTGGGTGCCACCGGGCCGTCCGGGGGCTTACCTGGGCGCCGAGCAGGCGGGAGGGTAAAGGCAGGCCGCGAGAGCGAGGTTAGGAGGAGAGGAGGCCGTAGTGCCGCTCACCCGCTTCGCTCTTCTCCCACTCTCGACTCTGCAAGGCCGCTTGCGGCCCCGCACCCTTTATCCGCGGCCGGGGGCCGCCCCCGGTGCCCTGATTGGCTCCCAGCGGCCGGGAGCCCGGGCCGATCAGCTGATGCATTCCCCGGCCCCGCGGCCATTGGGCGAGGAGCCCGGCGGGCGCCGCTGGGGTGGGGGCAAGCGAGCTGGGAAAGAAAGAAAGAGAAAGGGGCGTGGGGGAGGGGCAGGGCGGCGTGGGGGAGGGGAGCGGAGCCGGGAGGGCGGAGGGCGGAGGGCGGAGGGCGGAGGGGTGAGTTGCTGCCAGGCCGGGAAGCCTTCGCTCGCCGCCCGCCCGCCCGCTCGCTGGCCCGCCAGGTGCCGCCCGACGGACCCCAGCCCGGGGCCCCGAGGCTCCCAGCAAAGCGCCCTGGACCTCTGCCCTGCAGTCTTTACGGGCAATAGTTTTACGAGGAGAGCTCCCTGGGGAAATGCGGAACCAGGGAAACCGAATTTAGCCTTTTGTTGCGAGGGAGCCTCCGAGCCCCGCTTCCAGCGGGCAGGGGTTAGCTTGAGAGGGAGCGCGGGGCGCGGGACCCGGGGGAACCTTGGGCGGGCCTGGGCTAGCGTAGGTGCCGCTCGGGCCTGGGGACGGGTCCGGGTTCCCAAAGCCTGGAAGAGCCGCCCGCTCCGGCTCTGTTGGCTCTAGGGAAATAAACAGAACTCTGCCATTTCACATTTGAAATCTACGTGCTGTGTCTCTAATTTCACAGAGGATTCTGGAGGGCGGTAGAAACTTAACTCTGGAGACCTGTGTCATACCGCTGGCCAGACCCTCGGCAGGTCTCTCAGGGCCCAAGTTTCCTCATCTGCAAAATAAAGTGGTCATCGAAAACGATCTGTGGAACCGCCCACTAGATTTGAAATTCTGTGTGCAAACTGGCCCCTGAGCAGCCGAAAGGAAATCGAGGTGTTCACTTGCCCCTTTGGAAGTCCAGGAATTGTCAAGAAATGTCTTAAACGAATTCTCCCTGGTTTTGCTTTATCAAGTGCGGCTTGTTAATCTGGAAAATGGGAATACATACCTCTCCTCTCAGCTTGCCGTGATGGTTGGGAAAATGTGTATGTGAACACAATCTTGAAATGGATGGTTGTCAGCAGATGCACAATAATTATATGTGTACCTAGAGACACAACATAGGTAGATAGGTAGGTAGATAGATATTGCTATCCGTACTGTTACTCGATCATTCTGTTTTTAGTGCCTGAAATCTACCTGATGGTGTCCAGCTTTTATTGCTTCTTTCAGTTTGAAGAGCAAGAATTGATGCTTCCAGTGCCTTTGGAAGAGGAAGGGAAGAAGTTTGTTCTTCTGGTTGTTTTGTACCGCAAATATGGAAAAGAAATGTTGCCTGCGACCACATACACATAACTCGCCTTCTTTGGTCAACATCCCTTTCCTTTAAGACTGTATAACACTGTAGTACTTTTAAATGACAGATGCAGCATTCATCTCAAACAGGGGTTTTTGGCATGTTTCATACTGGTGACATTTGGGATTGTGTAGGTTGCCTTACAAATTCCTCGTTAAATTTCAGTGCTGCCCCTTGAAGCATTCCATTGTAGTGGCTACAGGCACGGCTGCAGGTCAGGCAAACCTAGGTTCAAATCCGGGCTTTCCCTTCATACCAAATCACTTAGCCACATGAAGCCTGTTTTTTTGTCTATAATAAAAGAGGGGTACGGTGAAACCCCGTCTCTACTAAAAAAATACAAAAAAATTAGCCGGGCGCGGTGGCGGGCGCCTGTAGTCCCAGCTACTCAGGAGGCTGAGGCAGGAGAATGGCGTGAACCAGGGAGGCAGAGCTTGCAGTGAGCTGAGATCCGGCCACTGCACTCCAGCCTGGGCGACAGAGCGAGACTCTGTCTCAAAAAAAAAAAAAAAAAAAAAAAAAGAGGGGTAATAATTGTTACCTTATAAAAGGATTAATTGTGATAGTACATGCAGAAGAGATTGAGTAGTCCCTGGTGCATCGTAAATGTTTAGAAAATAGCAATTATAATTATCATAGGCCAAGTTCTGTAATCTGAGGTGATCGGATTCTTTCTTTCCCTGTAGCGACTTTTGAATACGACTTTTCTGACTCAGTGTAATGCTTTACCATTCATTATATCGAACTGGACTTAACCTTGGTAACACAGTGCGCGGTCTTCATTTCTTTCTTTAAAGGTGTGAGTTTAAATGGTTGAGGAGGGGAAGCAAAGGAGGAGAAAAGTGACGTTTTTATTTTAAAATATGTTTTAATCATTTCCAGATACCAAACTACCAAACCATAAGCCAGAGCCTCTGCTGCACACACCACCAGCACCCGAGGTGGGGATGGCAAACGTAACAGAGAACGGAATGGTAAGGTGTGAGTGCAGTTCTGCAGGCTTACAGTGTTTCTGCCATTTGAGTGCCTGCTTCCCTTGCTAGATGTCTTGACCTCATTGAGCAGTTTATTCATTGTCATATCCCGCAGTAGTGTCCAGGGTGAGTGTTCAATAAATGATATTTGTTAAACATACAGAAGTGACTATCAAGAGAACACGTGCTTTGAGCTGCTTTTCTGATAATGGAAATGGATTTGCTTTGATCCATTCATGTGACCAGGGGCATGCTTTGTAAGGTTAGGAACATAATACCTATATAATGACCACTGACTCTTTCAGGAGTGAACAAGAGGCCTTGTCCTCCTCGGCCAGCCCCACATTTACTTAAAGTGACGAAATTAGGGCCCAGATGAGTCCAAGAACTGACCAGGGAGGCTTGAGCATAGGCAAGAAGTAAAAGCGGAAGAAAACCCTTAACTGGTTCGCCCCCAGAAACCCAGACTGTACTTTTAGAGAAGTTAAAAGTAAAACAGCCTGTTTCATCCAGTTTGACTTTGCTGTGTCTGCTGCCCTTTCTTCTCCCTCCCCTTCTTCCCTAAATTGCCACCCACCCCCATTCTTCACCCCTACCATAAAAAGAGCATTAGAATGCTTGAACCCATGAACTTTTCTGTTTCTTGGTACACACCGTATCAGTGCTGACAAGGGGTTCCATTGCATGTGCTTTGAAGTCATGTTTTTCTCTCTTAGAGTAGAATTGCCATGTCCAAGGGGTGGGTGGAGTGGGAGAGCAATTACAGGGAAAGATTTTGTTCCAAATCTGCAGAAATAGCCTGAGATTAAAAGTATTTCTTCAGTGTTATTCTGCTGCCTGAAATAAACGCTTTGTATTAGGATTTTGCTCTACCCCCAAATCTTATCTCTATTAGGAAACAACTTTTTCTCTCTTTTTTTTTCTTTTTTGAGACAGAGTCTCACTCTGTTGCCCAGGCTGGATGCAGTGGCGCGATCTCGGCTCACTGCAACCTCCGCTCACTGCAACCTCTGCCTCACAGGTTCAAGCAATTCTCCTGCCTCAGCCTCCTGAGTAGCTGGGATTAGAGGTGTGTGCCACCACAGCCGGCTAATTTTTTGGTATTTTTAGTAGAGACGGGGTTCAGCATATTGGCCAGGCTTGTCTTGAACTCCTGACCTCGTGATCCGCCCGCCTTGGCCTCCCAAAGTGCTGAGATTACAGGCATGAGCCACCGCGCCTGGCCCTGTCTCTGTTTTTTAAAGGATCCATTCTCACTCTGCAAGTAAGAAATCCTTTACCTGGCGATCTGGAGTGCCTTCCCAGGGCCTCTGTGGTTGCCTTGTACACATTAGACACGAAATTTAGGGTAGGGTTCACACTGACCAAACCTTTTCTGTTTAGGAAATGGAATTTTCCCTGCGTATGAATGATTTCAACAGGCATTCCGGGAGACCTTTAAATCATGTTAAAGAGACACAATTGAGACTCAGCGTTGGGGAACACCCTGGAAACCCAACCCAGAATTGTATAATATTGTTTTAAAAATTATTATTTTGTAATAAACCAACATCAATTCTTTCCAAAAGAATGGACCATAGTAGAATCTTAAACCAAATCAAAATAATAATAATAAAAATGAAGAAGAAATGAAACAGCTCTGGAAGTTGATAGCATTATTCTTAAACCATAATTTAGGGAAAAGCTGTAGTTGGCCAAGCTTTCAAATTTCACTTTATACAGTTAGAGAAGGAAAGACTGCATTATACTTCAGTTCAATAACTAGCACTGAGAATGGAGGCATTGTTCTTTATAGTCTTTGATTGTTTGGTATTTTTCAGTTCAGGACAGGAAATTGGAAATTCAAGTCTCAGCCATATCTCTAGCCTGATTTGAGTTTTGTAGGATGCCTGCTGAAATCAGTCAAATACAAGGAACGTTTCATTTCCCCAACTGCATGTTATGATGGAAGGTTTGGGTCTGTTTGAGCTCTACCCTGAATCATGTCTCTAGCAGGAAACTACGTGGAAAGTTGGGAAGAATCAAGTTCAACTTAGTTAACAACATGGGGAAATATGTCCTATTGAGAAAATTAAAGCCTTACAATTCTAGAATTAGATCTTCACATCATTCTATCTTAAAGAGGAGGAACTGAAGCTTAGATGAATCATAATAACTTGATGAAGTCACATGAGGGCAGTATTTTAGAGCCTAATGAACTTTCAAGGTGCTGTTCTTTTTCTATTCCCTTTCCTTTAGTCTCTTTGGTCTGTGGGTGATCTGTTTCAGGGCCACCATCTCTAAAATACTGAAATTCCTACAGTCCTCACTGAGGGAGGTGCAGAGGACAGGAACCAACCATTTCCCTCTCAATCTTGGGTGTGCTTACCCAGTGACTTCCATATAGCAGACACTTAATATATATTTTCTTTGTGAATAACTAAATTACCAGAAGGAAAAACAAACAAACAAACAAACAAAAAAACCACCGTAGGACAGATTCTCTTTGAAAGACTCTTTGGAGATCATTTTTCACATCTGATAATCTGCCTCCGGTTTCATTGTTTTTTGAATCTGAGGTTTTTGTAGATACATTTAGTCCTTTATTCTCAATTTACATTGTACAGATCTTTGTTCTGTAGATTGGAACATTATTGAAGCTAATTTAAAAATTTAGGGAATTTAGCATTCTGATCAAAAAATTATTTAGATCAGAGTATGTGCTTTAGTTGGTACCATTCCCAAAGAAATCCTCAATGGGATCCACAGCCCTTCCTCCCCTCCCACCTCATTAGTTAATTTGGATCCCTGTTTATTTCACATTCACTCGCCAAATTTTAACGGGAAACAAACAGCCCTAGGGTATGTTTTCTGGATGCTTGGGCAATTCTTAGTCCGGTGCTGGATTTTTCCTCTCCTTTCTCCTCTCCCACTTCTTTTAAACCCGTTCTGGGGAGACTTGTTTACTGGGGTTGGAGAATCAGAAGCTTGGCCAGGGTGGTGTGAACCTAGTGCCCTCTGCTGGAATTTTGTGAGAATGACAAACTTCTCCCCAAAAGCTTGAGTGTTTTGAGTTTTTTCTTGAGTAGCCTTTGGTGGGAGGACCTTTCTGTTACATCTTAAATCTAGTAAGTTAATAACATGCAGGCTTATTGCCTACACTGAATATTTGAGAGCTATTATGTTGGGGGTATCACTTGATTACCAGAGGTTTATTGTTATAGAATTAGGCCTCATTACAGGAAACAGGCAGCTAAGTGTTTGTGCTTTTTCATCCCGTCCCGTTAATGTGTAAGAGAGGTAAAGAGAAAAAGAAGGCTCCCAAAGAAAAGTAATTGAAAAAAGTCTAGGAACCAAGAGTAAAGGGGAAATGGCAAGCATTAGAAGCCTTGGTCACAAACAAGTCTTATCCCCAGCACTTGCTTTGGATCTGAGCCCAGAAATGTAAGACCCAGCCAGAAGTTGAGAGTCTGCCAGATTCTCACCCCCTAGGGGAGATGGGGGTCGGGGTAGAGGACAGAAAGTGTTGCATAAACACACTCCTAAGGGAGGTCTAGGGTGTTTACACTGTGCTGTTTGCTTCACCTGGGCTTTCTGGCTGGCCGACTTTCTTTCTTTCTCTTTTCTTTTCTTTCTTTTTTCTTTTTTTATTTTTAGACATAGTCTCACTCTGTCATCCAGGCTAGGGTACAGTGGTGCAATCTCAGCTCACTGCAACCTCCGCCTACCAGGTTCAAGTGATTCTCCTGCCTTAGCCTCCTGAGCATCTGGGATTATAGGTGTGTACCACCACGCCTGGCTAATTTTTGTATGTTTAGTAGAGACAGGGTTTCACCATGATGACCAAGCTGGTCTCGAACTCCTGACCTCAAGGGATCCGCCCGCCTTGGCCTTGTAAAGTGCTGGGATTAGAGGCGTGAGCCATCTTTCTTTCTTCTTTCACAATTTCATTTTTTTCATTTTGAGATAACTTGCTTCTCCATTGCCATTAGCAAAGTCATTGTGGCCCAGAGGACACAGTCACGCTTGCGTCAGACACACCTGCACTTAAATTCCTGTCTTGCTTCATACCAGCTGTGAGACTTGGACAAGTCAACCTGCTGGAGTCTCAGTTTTCTAGAGATTCCTTATAGAAACATTTGTGAGGATTAAAAACAATAACGGAGTCAACTCCAGGAACAAGTTATTGGATTTTATTATACCCCAAAACAAGGAAGAGAGTGGGTGCATTACTAAGGCAATGACTCAGTGTTCAGGACTGTTGTTGTCACCCAGAGAGGTTCACAAAACCTCCAACCTGTCCAGCAACGCATTTAGAAGAAACAGGATTAGGGAAGATTCTGGAAGCAAAGAAGCCTTTATTAAACATAACCATGATCCATAGCTGGAGTATACATAGGAAATTTGGTAACTTGGATAAGGCAAAGCCTTTTCCCTTTAGGAGCCTCTACTTTAGTGGGTGAGGAAAAACCTCCTAAAAGAAAATGATTTCAGCAGCAGTATAAAAGAAAGTGTGTCACCTGTATGAGCAAAATAACAAGGCAGATTTAATGTAAGTGCCCAAGAGTTCCAAAACAAGGGAATCAATAAGAGTTCTGGAGAAGGCCACCTTGGGGGTACTCGGTGTGGTGGGGGTGGATGTAGGTTTATTCTGGGAATCGAATAACACGGTAAATATGTGACTGTAGTATGACTGACTGTGATATGCAAGGAAAAGAAATTTGCAAAGACCCAAGAATGGTATCTGCTAAATTGCTTGTGCAAGGGTGGTCATGGTGAAATAGGAAAGTTTGGGCTAGAGTAAGAGTAATAAAATGAGAAGTCAGGAAAGTACCGAGCATTTGAATTCTATAAAAATGCTATAGCATTTGAATTCTATACAAATTTAAATTATGGAAATTTGAAATGTTATTAAGTATTTTAAAAGTCTCACTTTATATGTAACATTTGAAATGAAGCCAATTCTTGAAAGCTAGGGGAAGAGAAGGAGGCAAAACGAGCATAATTTCAGCCTGTATGAATTAATTATAAATTCTATCATGCTGCTTCCACGTGGTGACACCACTTTGGTGAGCACATAAAGTGCCCACTTTTCTTTATCAAGATGGGACTTGAATGGGTCCAGTTGTGAGTTGTGAGAGGTCTTGATTCCCTCAGGTAAAAGGCAATCCCTTGTGCCTGACGAAGAAGCTAGTGACAGCATAACTGCTAGTCTCTGTTCTCCTCCCTTCACAGCTCTTCCTTCTGTTACATTCTCTTCCCCCAGTGGCTTTTCTTGCACACTAATTTGTTCTCCTGGTCCTTTTCCTTCCCTCCCTCAAATCCCATCAGCATCTCTTTCTCAATCCCTCTCCCCTTATCTTCTCAGTAATTAGAGGCTCAGAGACAGAAAATGCACCAGCACGGGCATGGTGGCAGCCTCCTGTAATTGCAGCTACTCGGGAGGCTGAGGCAGGAGATTCGCTTGAACTCGGGAGGTGGAGGTTACAGTGAGCTGAGATTGTGCCATTGCACTCCAGCCTGAGCAATAGAGTGAGACTCCACCTCAAAAAAAAAAAAAAAAAGAAAAGAAAAGAAAATGAACCAGCAGACAGGACCAACTCCTAGCCTTCAAGGCCATTACCTTCACCAAGGAGGGTACCATGCTCATGGCTGAGGAGCCCACAGGAGGAAGATGAGGTGGACGACATGACAGCCACTGTAGGCCCTGTCTCAGGTGGAGCACTTTGCAAGGAGGACAGCCTGGTCTTCTTTCTCTGACTGCTCCACTTCCTGTAGCAACTTGTAGAGGGGTCCTGGAGTGCTTGCGTAATACGGAGCTCCTTTGGACCTGGTCAGCTTCAAGCTTGGACTGTAACAATGATACCAAAAGGAAGAGAAGCCATAGATTCCCAACAGGAATGAGGCATCGATCATCACATGCCAGCAGAAGAAGGTGGTGACAAACATGATGTCACTGATGTCATCGTCTTGCCATGGGTAGCCAGAGACAGGTCTGTATAGAATAAAGCCTGCCTGCATCAGCCAGGAGCCCATCATCAGCATCAGAAAGGTCTCCATCAACTGGAGATGACACATGTTGGGAGCCCACAGCTGTGCAGTCAACACCAGCAACAGCAGGAACACCACCAAAATGAGCAGAGAGTGAACGTGCAGCTCCACCCCTTCTGAGTCTTTAGCATGTGACACCATCAGCAGCAGGAGCTCGTAGATGATCAAGACCAAGGTACCTTTTTCTAGGCCCACACACCTCTGAGGCAGCACGTTCTTGCTCATGAAGTCCACACAGCCATTGAGAGTGAGGAGGATGAACATGGTGAGGTGCTGCCACTCTTTGGGGTACATGAACCTTGGTGGCAGCTCCCTGTTCATCAACATCAACCCTCCTTTAATGCAACTGACCTCATAAACTGTCAACAGGGAGCCAGTCGCCATCTTCAACAAACCTCCATAGGATATTTTCCACAGCCTGGTACATCTTCCCTTATTCCTGGGAGGGGATGAAGGATATAGGAGAGAGTCACTGAATACTATAGCTTTGGAAATTACTACTGCCTGATATAGTCCATATAAGAACAGAAACAGCCCTGGATACACATGACCAATAAAGGTTCCCATGGAACCATCAATCTGTTCACTGAAGGAGAGAAAAGCAATACTCAGGTACAGCCTCACTTTATGCAGCCACTTCAAGTTCTGGGCTTTGGAAAGAACTGCCTTCCACCTACTTTTATCATCTCACCGCACCCACTGCTCCCCCACAAAGAGGAAATGTTTCTCAAGACAAGCCTACACATTTGGTGGAATATGGTCTATCATTCCATTCCATTCTGGTACATTGGGAATGCACTGGCCTCTGCCAAAGAAGTTGGTGAATGGGCTTTCAGAGGACCCTCTTACAGCCCTTGAGGTTCTTCTGGTTACACTCATCCCTACGTCCCATGGCTTCCTTCCTCTTGTCCTTCCCAGAGCTCGGAGGAGAAAAGGAGAGGAAAATGGAGTGGGTTGCCATGACGGTATCCAACAAATTATGGACACTCATAAACTCTTGAGTATACTTTAGTCCTTCTCAGACATCATTTTGGTCCAATTGTAAAGTCAAACGTTTTCTTTATGGATACATTTGAACATTTGGATATATAGTATATTTAGCACCTGTCTGGCTTTTCTACTTATCTATGATAGACTCGTCTTGAAGACCTCCAAGAAAGCCTCCTTGAACATCCCCCTGTTACCCGCTCACATTCCCCCAACCACTACTTCAAAATTTCTACCGGCCAGGAGATGAATCTGAAAAGCCGCCCCTGGATATTGATTTTAGGGGCTGTGGTGATTTTGTAGTAGTGTCAGCATAACTGAGCTTGAACCCAGAATTTCCTTCCCAGTGTGGTTCCAAATTAGGTTTCGCTACAGGTGGAATTTACATGAGAATCTGAAGGCGGAAGTGAAGCAGCAACCTAAGAATACTCCGAAGGCGTAGGGTGCTGGGTACTGCTGTAGTTCATGCATTGCGTCACTGTTCTGCAGGCTCACCTCCCAGATGAGCAGCGGCCAGGCCTAGAGCTGCCCTGAGCTACTCTTTGCGTGAAGGGCGCCAATTCCTTCTGCAGGTTGCCTGCCATTGCAGTATGAGATAGGGAGAGGACATGGGCTCCAGTTTGTCCTGGTAGGCTTTGGTTTTGGTTTGTCTTTGGCCTTCCCTCGTTCATATAATATGGTTCTTGCTGACTGTTGCCACCTCAACCTGAAATGACTTCAGGTCCCCAACACAGCAGAGAGAAAACAGCTTTCCGTAGATGTTGTCCCCAGCTCCCATGTGTAAGGTCTAGTTTCTATCAGGCATCCATATCCCATCGCTATGCTTCCATCAGCCATCCCTAACTGATATAAGAAAGTAAGATGAGTCCTGAAAATGGGGATACCACTGAGAGGAATCACCCCAGTGAGCTGGTATTGGCCACTGATATTTTCATATGAAATAGCCACCAGCTTCCTTTCTCAGTGATTACTTGATGAGCGTCTAATGCATCTAGGAGGACAGAGTTCTAGGTATTGGGTAACAGCCCTCCGAGCCTGAGAAAGGGGGATGGTGGAGAGAACAAGATACAGGGAATGTGAAGCATCCCTGGGCACACAAGTGATTCTGGGTTTATTGCAGAGGGTCCCTGCAGCAGGAGTTTCTCTGAGGGCAATAGGTGTGCTGAGGCAAGTGGAAGTTCATCGCAGATGGTGAACCTTGCTGACTCAGTCCTCTGCGTAATCATCCCTGCTCACACTACAAGCAATGCTGTAAAGCAGAGGCAACACCTGTGTGCTGATGGCGCCCCCAGTGGGGAGGAGGAGAGTTTACACACAGGGCACAGTGCTGCCTCTGAGCCCTCCCTCCCATCCAAATGCCTAACTTACTTACACTTTCTCAAGCCCACATTATGCCAGAAAAATTAGATATCGCTCTCTGCAGTTGAGCATGACAATAATTCATACTACTTGCAGTTGTGAGATCTGGTGTGGCTGGGGAGTCGAATGTGAAGGTAGGCTATAAAAACAAAACTTAATTCTGCTTTCTGAAGGAATTTACTTTGCTTATTTAATTTTAATTTTTAGGTGTTCTTATAGAATTAATATACAGTCATTGTAGAAGAATCAGGTATTTTTTTTTTCTTTTTTCTTTTCAAAGATAGATTCTTACTTTGTTGCCCAGGTTGGTCTTGAACTCCTGGGCTCAAGTGATCCTCTGCCTTACCGCCCAAACTGCTGGGATTGCAGGTGTTAGCCACTGTGCCAGCCTTTTCTCCCTCCCTCCCTCCCTTCCATCCTTCCTTCCTGCCTGCCTTCCTGCCTTTCTTTTCCTTCCTTCTTTTCTTTTTTTCTTTTCTTTTCTTTCTCTCTCTTTTTCTTTCCTTCCTTCCTTCCTTCCTTCCTTCCTTCCTTCCTTCCTTCCTTCCTTCCTTCCTTCCTTCCTTCCTTCCTTCCTTCCTTCTTTTCTTTCTTTCTTTCTTTCTTTCTTTCTTTCTTTCTTTCTTTCTTTCTTTCTTTCTTTCTTTCTTTCTTTCTTTCTTTCTCTTTCTTTCTCTCTCTCTCTCTCTCTCTCTCTCTGTCTCTCTTTCTTTCTTTCTGTTTCTGTTTCATTTCTTTCCACACCCCTTCAGTACAACATAAATTATATACATGAAAAGAACATTACGAATCATCCGTAAGGTCAGATATTGTGGCTCACACTTGTAATCCCAACACTTTGGGAGGCCGAGGTGGGTAGATCACTTGAGGTCAGGAGTTCAAGACCAGCCTGACCAACATGATGAAACCTTGTGTCTACTAAAAATACAAAATTAGCCGGGCATGGTGGTGCATGCCTGTAATCCCAGCTACTTAGGAGGCTGAGGCAGGAGAATTGCTTGAACCTGGGAGGTGGAGGTTGCAGCGAGCTGAGATCGCGCCATTGTACTCCAGGCTGGGCAACAAAAGTGAAACTCCATCTCAAAAAAAAAAAAAAAAAAAAAAAAAATCATCGGTAATCCCACAACTTGGATGTGACCATTTCACCAGTGAGGTGTAGAGACAGTCTTCAGAAGGCACCATGAGGAAGTGGAAAATACACTGATGTGAAGTCAGAATCTGGGTTCTAGTTCTAGTTTTCTCTTGATTTCCTGAATGTCATACCCTTATCTACAAAAAGTGAGCATTGGACTTAATTTTTCCTACAGAGAAAATAAAAAGGCATAGATGTTGCGACACAGAGGTGAGCATGTTTGTCTCCTGTCTCCTTCTCCCTTTTGGTGAACTATCAAAATACATGGAAGCACTGTAGACCTGAAGCTCAGAGGAAGGAGATTCAAAGGGAAAATCTGAGAGCAATACTTCCGAAGTGAATCACAGAGAAGAGAACCCCAGGAACTCTCCTTGGTTCTTGAATTTGTCCTGGGAGAAGTAGGCAGTCTGTTGCTCCTCCAGGAGCTGTGGTGTTCAGGCCTCAAGAATAATTGCATTTGGTCGCTCTTTTTTGGTGGAGGGGACAGTATATGGCATCTATCACAATGGTTACTCTTAGTATTGCTTCTTGAACTTCAGGTCTGTGGTCCACACAAGGCGGGAGTAGCAGAGCTTATTCCGGCTCACACACTCATTGCCACAGATGCTCCTGGCAGCTGAGAGCTGGGCACCAGTGGTCAGAAGAGGAGGGAGAACAGCAGCACTGACTCAACAGCAATAGGAGGTTGAATGTGGCATGAATGCAGGACATGTAGCCCCACTTGCGGTCCTGTCTGGGATGTTCAGTCCTCCGCCTTGGCCAGACATCAAGGCTGCACATAGTTCATTAAAACATGAACATCCTGATCCCAGGACTTTGAAGATAGGAATCGCCCATCCCAAACCAGACACTTCCCACAAGCAGCTGAGCAAGGAGCCAAAGGTGGTGAATGATTAGCAGAACTGCCAGACAGCTCCAGAGTCTGTGAACACGAAGCACCTGGAAAGCTGTTTCATGGTTGTGATATTATGATTATATACATGTTGACTTTTGTCCATGGCTTCTAGCTCATATCTCCCTTAACCCTGAGACAGTCTTTTGTCATAATGTTGGGAGCACTTTAGGCTTCAGAAGCAGACCTCAGGAAACCGAATCTCTCTCTGACCTTCTCCTCCCCTCCTTTCACTTGCCCAAGGCAGGACCCTAATCTGATTTCAGGTCATAAGACCTTCATTCCAGAGAGGGTCCTGCCCCATACTCTGCAGGAAGGAATGCTGCGTGGAGAGACCAAGAAGAATCTGAACAGACAGGCCTTCCTGGGTTTCCATCATGCCCTTTTTGTCCAGTCACATTTTGACCTAGTTATCCATGCATCATTCATGGACGATCAATGAAGTCTCCTTAAAAGGCCCAAAGGGCTGAGTGAGGTGGCTCACGCCTGTAATCCCAACACTTTGGGAGGCTGAGGTGGGTGGATCACTTGAGGTCAGGAGTTCAAGTCCAGCCTGGCCAATATGGTGAAACCCCATCTCCACTAAAAATACAAAAGTTAGCTAGGCAAGGTGGTGCATGCCTGTAATCCCAGCTACTCGGGAGGCTAAGGCAGGAGAATTGCTTGAACCTGGGAAGTATAGGTTCCAATGAGCCGAGATCACACCACTGCACTCTGGCCTGGGCAACAGAGTAAGGCTCCATCTCAAAAAAAAAAAAAAAAAAAAAAAAGCCCAAAGGCCAAAGAAGTGTTAAGAGAACTTCCAGGTAGCTGAACAGGTGGAGGTTCCTAGAGGGTGGCACACTTATGGAGGGCATGGAAGCCCTTTGCCCCTTCCCCCGTACCTCACGCTACACGTCTCTTCATCTGTATTCTTTGCAATATCCTTTATAGTAACTTGGCAAATGTGTTTCTTTGAGTTCTGTGAGTTGCTCTTGCAAATTAACCAAATCCAAAGAGCAGGGTTATGGGAACCCCAACTTAAAGTTGGTCGTCAGAAGTTCTGAAAGTCCGGCTTGCAGCTACTGTTGGAGGGGCAGTTTTGGTGATTGAACCCTCACCCTGTGGGATCTGACGCTATCTCCAGGTAGATAGTGTTGGAATTTAATTACCAACACCCTGCTGGTGTCTGCCACTTGGTGCGTGTGAAGGAAAACCCCCACATTTGCTTACAGAAGTCTTCTGTGTT